GTAGCTCGCTCAATTCGTTCTCGAGTTATCGTGCGGACAGACACACACACAGACAGACGGACAGACAGACAGACAGAAAAAGTTTCTTCCGACCAGACGGAGTAATAGGCTTCGCTAATCGCTCAGCCAAAAAGCTGCGATAGTGGCACTTATATTGTTTGGTCCAAGTTTAGTTGGCTGAGCGATTAGCGAAGCCCATTACTCCACTGACCGGAAAAGTTTCATTCTGTTTGTCTGTTTGTTTGTTTGTCTGTTTGTATGTGTGTCCGCACGATAACTCGAGAAGGAATTGAGATAGCGATCTGGGAATTTCAGGGTCGTTTTGTATCATAAAAAGACAGATCGAGTTCGAAGATGAGCATTATAGCTCAAAAATTGGCTTTTAAAAAAATCAAAAACCACTGGTCGCAAAATGTATTTTTATCCATTTGTTTATGGGTTGCAAAGGGGTAAACCGTCACAGTAGATCTCCACGAACGAAAATTTCGTCCGTTTGGCTCTATCTTGTACCGTTTAGGTGCTAGGCGGCATTTCTTGACAAAAAAGAGGTGAAAATGATCAAATGGTCGATTAAATCGTTAGAAAACTTCATTTCGTAAAATTGTATATACACTCCTATTCCCCCGTCGGCGTCTCGGGTGTCAGCGCCGCAGGGCTAGCTGTATGTGCGCCAGGCGCGTCGCAGCGTAACAGTTTTTCGTGAGATTTCGCGAAGCCTGTTACGCGAGACGTGGTCTGGCGTACATATAGCTAGTACTATTGTGAAAACAAGTTGTGAGTTGAATAACCATGAAGACACTAGATATTGGAAGATTAGGCGAATTCCAGTTGTTTTGAATTTGTACAATTTTTAATATGGTACCCTCATTTCAATTTTAACCGGCAATATTCGCTTGTTGGCAGCGGTTTTTCACCAAATTTTTCTTTTTTGGGGTTTTATTAGCCATTTATGCCCCAATGCTGCCGGTTAAAATTCATCCGACACCTGAAATGGATAGTACTCATCAAGACAAATAAAGCGGTAGCCTCATTTTTATTTTTTAAGCCGTTTTTTGGTTGGCGAAATTTTTCTTTTTTTTATTGGGTTGGCCAACAAATGCTTGGTTGGCCAACATTATGCACGTCGCGGACATTACGTCATCAAAAACTTCAAAAAGTGCGTACATCCTTGACGGACAAAACACTCAACCAAAGCGCAACGAGAAGGGAGAGGGAGCCAGCCGGCCAAGCTAGGCCCGGCCCCCGCCAAACGGAGTTGCCTAGGAGCGAAGTACCCGTAAAGAAAATTATCACGAGGGTACTTACCAAGGCATAACAAAATTTTTCGTAGCTCAGCCGGTGAGTGTGGCCCGCTACATTATTTGATTATGTTTTTCAGTAAATCGCGTGACGGAAATGTTTGCCGGCAGGCCTAGCAGGCCCGGCCCCTGCCAAACGGAGTTGCCGGCGCAGCTGGCAACTCCGTTTAGTGTAAGGGCGGGTCTGCTTCTTTTCTTCAGGTTCAGTGAAGCGTGCTGGTATTGTTTGCAGTTTGACACAACGCCTGGAGCCCCAGATTGGTCCTGGTACGACGCCCTCTCCGGTTTGGACTCAGGTCAAGTGGACTTGCTTGTCGGACAGTACTCCTTCACAGCTGAACGGCATGATCTGTTAGTAGCCTACTTGACTTGTGTAGATTTGCCTCTAAACCCGTTCTTATTAACCGCCCGTTGCGTTCCTTTCAAAATATTCAGCAGGTTCATTTACGGCTCGTGGCTTGTCCCCGCTCTTCTCTTGTTGAGGGAGGTGGACAGTCATTGTAAAGGGCACTGGAATCATCCGAACAAAGGCCCTACCCCCCCCTGTCGCCAAAATTTTCGAACGCCCCCTGAATCGTTCTACACGTGCCTGTGCTCAATTTGCGTCCACCTCACGTCCACCTCACGAATAATCGCGGAAATTGGCACGAAAGTCGCTCCAAACTGGCTTTAAGTCTCTTAGTCGCCCACTCGTAGTACACCGATGTTGGAAGTGGGGAATCCCTTGCATGTAAGTAGGCAGTTCAACTTGAACTTTTGGCAACCGTCTCCGAAAATTGACGCTTTGCAATTCAAGACGGTTCTAACTGCTTTCATCAAAACGATCAAATGCCCCTGGACCTGGACACTTGCGGTAACAAAGCCGATTACTCCAGTGATCAAAACGATTCGGGTCCGTAATCACGATAGCTCGAGAGTGGACTGAACTATGCACCTGCCATTATAAGGAGCACATTATTTCATTCGAGATAGATGAACGCCGGATCACGTCTCGCGCAACAGGCTTCGCGATACCTCACGACACACTGTTCTGATTGGACGCCCCTGGCATACATCTACCTAGACCTGTGGCGCTGATACCCGAGTTGGGCGAATGGCAGAGTCGTAAAAAGGTCTTCGACGTGCAAAGTGAAATTTTGGTCCACAATGGTTCATTTTGAAGAGTTACCTTAACGGAGAACATCAAATATGTGAGGGAGAACATTTATTTGTTTCGGGGTTTATTGCCTTGTGGAGAAACTCCCTCTATCGCCCAAACAGTAAGAGATACAGCTAAAGTAACGAAAGTTTGGTCCTGTGGACTCAACCTTTACTCCTTTTTAGCCCGCCCTTCTGTTTTGAAAAAGCTATCCAGCTCGCTTATGCAAACGACCTCGTATCTGTCTGTCTGTCTGTGTGTCTGTCTGTTCCACTAGAAGGACATGTGCGAGAGACTTCTAATTTTCAGGGTATATTGAGGTTCACTCTTAGAAAACGCAACGTGTACGGCAAATGCTGGCAACCACCCTTAAGGGGCTGAAGGGGGGTGTGAAAGAAACAGGGGGAGGCCAAATTAGCTAACAAAAAATATTTTTATATGATCTCCTGATGAGTAACTCTCAAGAGTAGACTCCTCTGAACCTAATTTTTTTCCGTTTGGCTCTATCTCTCACCGTTTGGCCGCTAAAGATGCCTTTTTGACGAAAATACGCAAAAAATGACGCTGTACATGAAGACGTACCGGGTGTAACTGTGAATGCGCAGCAGTGTTGCGGGTTTGCCTACCCAATTCACCTGTAAGGCGCCATGGCTCCTGCAGCCCTGGTATGCGCTCCCGCAACACTGCTGCGCATTCACAGTTACACCCGGTACAAAAAGGCCTCAAATCGAAAATGTCAGAGGAAGTCATATCCGAAACATCACATTCAAAATCAGAATCAGCCCTTGGAAATGCCGTATCTTCCATCGTTTCAGAGGTAAAGGTTGATATAATTAAAACAATAGCGAAATGTCCAGTTTTAAGACTGTCAGAGAAACAATACAAGCTGAAAACTGTGCTCGGTCTACGAGGCCACACAACAGGATGTGTACCCTGGGGCAGTGTGTAACATGAACGTCTGGGGTAGTCTGGGGAAGTGTGTAATGACACGAATCGTCTTATTTGCTTATCAATGATGTGCCTGTGCCCTAACAGTCTCCCCGAGGCACAACTTTTTGTTTATAGCTCAAGTTCACAAAATATACCCAAAATAAGGACCAATTTGATGTTTTCAATTGAAAACTCGTAAATTTAAAGAAAATTACATTTGAAACAATAAAATTAGTTGCGGGCAGTATGTAACAAATGCAGATATTTGTTCAACAAGCTGTAGGTCATACGGGAATGCGCTAAGTAGTACATCCGAGCAACTTTCATGTCTAGTAAAGTCCAGTCTATTCTTTTGCGCCCGATTTACCCAATTTCTTTTCATGGTTTGACTTTTATAGCCAAATTTCAAAATATGTTACACACTGCCCCACCCTCCCTTACTGGCTTCTAATTTCTGATGTGTTTCAGTGAGAAACTACTTTGCAACTGGTCCAGTCTTTCGACTGGTCCACTCTAAGACTCGTCCACCCTGCAACCGGTCCACCCTTCCAACTTGTCCAGTTAACAGCTTTTTGCAACTGGCCTAGTCTTTTAACTGGTCCAGTTCTCCAACTGGTGTAGTATTGTTGGGGTTCTGGACCAGCCATTCATCTACCCCCCGGCGCCACTTCCCCCCTGGCTCTGTTGTGGCTGCCTAGTAACCCTGGTCCCCGGCTGCTCCGGCTCACTCTTGCCCCAACCCTTGACAATCTTTCTTAATACGGCAAAACATTTTAAACACACCTCGTATACATTTGGACTGATTAACAACTTATGTATGAGGTTGCAGTCTATTGGGTGATGTAAGACTTTCCCCCATGCACACACAACTTAGTCGATTTGGGCTTCGAACTTTGTGGGTACTACACATTTATGGTACTAAAGCTGGAATAAAATTATTGGCATGACCGCTTCACTGTGGAAAAAAATTGTGCTAGTATCAAGTATGAGATGTATCAATCAGGTCGGATACAACCATCACATTTCAAATTTGTGTTAATAGATACATTTGTTACAGTCATAATCATATTTTAATTATTGTTTTTAAAAGAGGCTTGGTTCAGTTCCCTTTTATTCTCTGCCCCCCCCCCTTCCTAACACAAAACGCTACTACACAGTCAGCTGACTTCCTCCGCGATTTCGAGATGTCGTTTTGAAGTCTCAGGTCACGCTTTCGCCAGGCATCGGACAGACATCCCTTCCGTCTGTCGGCAGCATTTTCACAAGATTCTGCGATGTATGACGAAAGCCTCCTGAGAGGATTCAGAAAGGAATCTTAGTCGGCCAATACACGTTTCTCACGCGATTCCGGGATGCCCGTCTGAAGCTTCATGTCAGACATTTATTCGGCATCGCAGAGGCATCACTGGTCGGCCATAAGGGTCTTCTCACGTGATTCCGAGATGTCCCCATAAAGCTTCATGTGAGGCTTTCATCAGGCATCACAGAGGCATCACTGAGGCATCGCCTGAGTGACTTTAATAAGGCTTTGAAACGTCTACAGAGAAGCTGCAATAGACGACTCTATTTTCGGCATTTTCGGCAATTTCCGGATTGCTGTTAACAGGCATCTGAAATGCTTCTCTAAATCCCTCTCAATTTGTCTTTTGCCACATTCGACAGCATTTCAACGAGAATTCATCTGACAGCATTCAAACAGACATTTGAAATCGTCTATAATTCGTGCAATTCGTCAGTAAATAGTCAACAAATCCACTGAATGTCTCAATTGAGGAAGCGATTTTCGTCAGGGGTAGGTTGACTAAGTACACATACAAGGATCTTGAGACAAATTTCTTACCCCCTTAGACGGCTCACGATAGAGACGGAATAATTGGAAGAGACCCCCCATCCCATCTCTTCCGTACTTAGAGCAGAGAACCGGTTGCCTACCTACAAGGCAGACCCTCATTCGTTTTAGTTTTGTTCTGTATTTTTTACGTCTTCTGTTATTTTAATGCTCTTCGCTCAGCTACCCCGTGCGTAAAGTTAAAGCACGGGCTAGTACGTTTAATGTATTTGACACATTTAAACTGACAGGACACAGTTGTAGAGTTACTTTGAGGGAACCGAGAAAGGACCATACTGTCACCCAGGAAGTCCGCTAAAGTAAAGCACGGCTCCATAGACGTGGCCCCCGACTGAACTAGTTGCAAGACTGGACCAGTTGCAAGACTGAACTAGTTGCAAGACTGGACCTGTTGCAAGACTGGACCAGTTGCAATACTGGACCAGTTGCAAGACTGGACCAGCTGCAAGACCGGGCCTGATAAAAGACTGGACTAGCTTCAAGACTGGACCAGCTGCAAGACTGGACCAGTTGCAGGACTGGACCAGTTGCAAGACTGGACAAGTTGAAAGACTGGACCAGTCCAAAGATTAAACCAGATGAAAGACTGGACACGTTTCTAAACGTCTTCACTGGACCAGTTGAAAGGGTGGACCAGTTGCAGAGTGGACGAGTCGGAGAGTGGACCAGTCGAAAGACTGGGCCAGTTGCAAAGTAGACCAGTTAAAAGACTAGACCAGTTGTAATACTGGACCAGCCGAAAGACTGAACCGATTGAAACACCCGACCAGTTGAAAGACTTGACCAGTTGAAATACTGGACCAGTTGAATCACTGGTTCAGTTACGAGACTGGACCAATTGCATACTAGACCAGTTGGACGCCTGGGCCAGTTAAAAGACTAGGCCAGTTGCAAATCGCTCTTAACTGGACTAGTTGGAAGGGTGGACCGGTTGCAGGGTGGACGAGTCTTAGAGTGGACCAGTCGAAAGGCTGGACCAGTTGCAAAGTATATCAGTTCAAGGACTAGACCAGTTGCAATACTGGACCAGCTGAAAGACTGGACCAGTTGCAAGGACTCCGTTACGAGAACAGACTGGTGTGATGTAGACCCACCCACTGTTGCAGGCAGAAATATGCTTTCTGCAGATGAAAAGTAGATCGCTTGTTGACGTAAAAAGACACAGTTTTTTTGTCCTAAACATTAGCCGCCTTCATTTTTTAAAACTCCTAAATGGGGCGGCTTACTTCACATACACGATAGCCGCCCCCATATGGGTAATTCTACCAAAATGGCACGGGTCGGTGTCCGCGAAAAGTTTCTCGTTGATCTCAAATATATTGTTTGTCAAGCTTCGCCGAGGTGGTTTTCGCGCTTCAGATGATAAATTGTGCTCTATTTTAACTATTTTAATCAACAACAGCTACGGGGCACTAGTATTTAATCAATAATTCGCTATAATCTCACGTTGTCCCCCTTCATCACACCCTAACCTAATTTCAGCGTTTTCTTTAATACCAAATGATGCCAAGGGTATTTTACTGTTCGAGATGTTTACTTTCGTGTCATTTTCACTATTTCAATCAACAACAGCTACACACTATAAGTATTTCGGCCAAAAATGTCAAATATTGTCCCCTTTGTCACGCTGTCCTGGGCGTTCGGCGTGACAAAGGGGACTATTT